TGGACTGTTTCAAAACTGTAAACAAATGAAAGAGAAAAAGGAGAGAAAATTTCAAAATTTAACAAAAACAACACAAATCAAACAGTGTTTATAGTCGCCGGAGTATCTCTGAAGAGTTTCTTCACCATCGTCAAAGTTCAAGGAGTAACTCCATGGATCATACTGAAACATAGTCTGCTTCTGCTTCTTCTTCTTCTTCGTCTTCTTGACCGCCTCCTTCACCCTCTGAAACATCTTCTTCACAGCCTCCAGACTCATTTTACTCAGAATGTTGAAATGAACCTTTTCTAGGTTGTAAAGCTTTAAAAGTGTCTTTTGAAAATGGGTGAAAGATTTGATCTTGTGGGGTGGTTGAATCCGTGCGAGGAATTTACATTGGGCTTCACGAGAAAGAGATGTAACAGAAGGAGAAGAAACTTTGGGCAGAGTGCTTACTCTGTTTTTTTTCTTTAACTGTTTGGTCTTTGTCTCCTACTATCTCAACGAATCAATAATTCCTTTTCTTTCTATTTTTTTTTTAACAACTGATATTTCAAAACAATGAAATAAAAGGAATAATTTTAGTCAAAGTACCAAAAAAAAAAAAAACTTGTACTTTTATTCATTTAAGATTTTGAATTAAATGAATATTGGGAATTATCACAAATAGAATCAGATATAGTGAAATGTGTTTTGTTGTTGAGATTTTATACTTTTCCATCGTATCTAAGATCACTTTCAAATTATTTAAGTGATTACGTATTTTATGGGGGATTGGTAACGTTCTACAATTTGAATATACTATTAAATAGGTTTATTGTTAAGTTTAAACTAATATCGGAATTGACCAGATCTTTTTATTAACAGTTTTTCACCAACCAATCTCATTTAAACGTCTGAGCTGAAACACCAAAATAATCCATGCAAAACGATTATACATGATGTATTTATAGAAGTGAGATTGGAACGAGTTTACACTTTCCTCTTTAAAATGACTTGTCATTGTGCCATACATTGTTTTATTTCATACTGATGTTGTTAAAATGAATCCGGAAAATTGTTTTCTTGTTTGTTTTTTAATTTAGTTAAAATTCGGTAAAACATTTTTTTAAAAATAATATTGAAAATTAAATTATAGATAATCTTATATAACACTTGTTATCATCTTAAAAATCTACACATATCCAAGATAATATACTCTACTGTCTTAAATTCATATTGGACAGTGGACATGCGTGACTAGATACTTAACATATTCAAGTTATAGATTCTCTTAATATTTTGTCCAAAAAAATAAAAACAAGATTCTCTTAATATTTGATCCAAAAAAAAAAACTCTTAATATAACACTTTTTCATTAAACTAAAAATAGAATTTATTATGTTTAGTAAACAAACATCACTATTCTCTTTGCAATTCTCAAGAAAAGCTGTGTAATAAAAGGACAACATGTGTGTCCCCAAAAAGTAACAATTTTTAAAAATAATTCTATTTAAATCCCAAAACTTTCACATTCTCACAAATCAGCCCCACTTGCTCCCTCTCTTCTCCTTCTTCATCTCACTCCTCACATCTCTCTCTCTGTTTTTCACCTCAACGAACTCACAACAATCTCCAAACTAACTTATAATATCAGAAATGAGAGAGCTTGAGCGGTTGAAGACGAGCATGAACCATCATCAATGGCCTCCCATTGGAGCACCGATGAATCTCCGGCGAGAAGAACTAAGTAAATCTCCATTAGAAGACTCAGTTAACGCCGTCTCCTTTGGTTTCGTTGCAACAGCCATTCTCATCTCAATGTTCCTCGTCATGGCTATCTTTGAGAAACTCGTTCGAACAACTACTAACCAAGATTCCTCTTCTGGTCGGATCCTCTCGGGTATGGATTCTCGGGTCGGGTTTAGTGGTGCATCAGCATCTAAGCTCGGTTATCAATCTCCCAAGGCAAGTTACTTTACCTTTTTTAATACAAAGACTAAAGTCGTAACACACAATGTTCCTTAACTGTCGTAATCTTTGTCTGCTCTGTTAAGTGTTGACACATTTTTTGACTAATCTGATTTTGACTAATCGTTTAGTCTTTTGTTTAGTTATTCCAAAAAAAAAAAAAGATTACATTTTTTAATCTCAGGGGTTATTTTCATTTGATGTTAACACGTTCATACCAAAAGCAGAAGAAGAAAACATGATAAGGGGTTTGAACTTTTGATTATGTGTACTATTTGAGTATTGAAAGAGACCCAACAATGCACATGCTTTTACTTACATCATCAACATTTAAAGATGTCTCATAAGCTTCTTTACTCACACATTCATACACATACACTGTTGATGCATTCATTGATTCTTTTCGTCATTCAGAATCTTTTGTCTTTTTTTTTTCTCGTCTTCGTCATAATGGTGAAGGAAGGAGACAAGGAAGAAGTGTAATAAAGTTTGTTTGTTGAAGATTTTGATTCTTTTGTTAGTATTATTGTTGTAGATGGATAATGAGGTCTAACGTCTAAGTCTAAAACCATGTGTGACTGACATGTCCTTAGGAACACAAAATGGCCCCACAAGTTTTCTTGAAACCTAACATTCCTCCTATGCTATATTTAATCATGTCTTGGCGGTTAACTAGTTTTATTGAGATTGCATTGTTTGTGTTTTGAGAAATGATTTTTAAGCTTGAATTAGTCCTTACCTGATGATTATGGGCTCCTCCTTTTATACTTTGTTAGATATACTCGTTTTGATAAAAAGACTGATTGGCATTTATGATTGATTTTACATGGTCATGGACCAAAACCATGTGATCAAAGACTAGATAGAAGCATTCAAAAACATGGGATGACCCATAAATGTAAAGTTAGGACAAGTGTGTTTGCTCTTTTCTTTCCTCTTTAACTTGAGCTGCTGTTGGGGAACAATGACAGATGTTTTCAGATCTGTCATTGTCTTCTCCCTCTCAATTTTTTCTCATTTGCTTATGTTCTGTTATTATTCTATCTGTTGGAAAGAAATTGTGTTGTATTTTCCTTAAGTTTATTGAATGGCTGATTAATGATACGCATGCAGATGACTGTTTACACGAACGGTGTATCGGTATTGATGCCAGGAGATGATATCCCTACTTTCATTGCTCATCCAGTGCCCATGCCTCGTCCTCCTCAACACATCTCACAGTCTCAGCATCAACATAGCTCATCAAGTGATTCCTCCAGCTCAAACTCCATTCAAGAATGTTGAAAGACTGTTTTCTTTATCAATGTTTTCTCCTGATGATCCCACTACATTTATTGGGTTCATGGAAGATTATTTATCCCTATTTTCTGTACATAGATTCAGAATTTGACTTGATTTGGGTTTTGTATAGTTTTTTTTTTCTGTCATTTGCTAGTTACATGGATTAGGTGCACAGAATAGAACAGAGTTGTGACAATATGCACAAAAACATTTGTTGACAATATGCAACTACATTTATCAATCAGAGTTCTGAATATATAGCAAAAACAAAGCCAAAACATGTATATGCAAATTAAAACTCACAATTAACATCTATAATGATCTCTCCCATAGCTATGTATAATGCCATTTTTTTTTCATTTTTGTTTGGTAGCAAAAGAGGGAGACGTTGAGTTTATTGCCTTTCGTTGCTTGACGCGGTAAATGATCTAAGTTTATACCGTTGTATATTAAAACTCTTCCACTTTTGGCCATTCAATCTCAATTAAGACTATAGTATTTAGTTAGCATCATGCATTACTTCTTTTATAAAATTACTTGCCAACCACCTATATATCAATGAGATAAACTTGCAAAATGTGTTCTTCTATGTATTTGGTAATATAAACTATAACGTTTTACCGCTATTGCCCGTTTTGGAATGTCTTCAAACTTTTTACTTTGCTCAAATTCTAGCACGTAACATAAACTAGATGGTAATTTTTCATTGGCTAAATATCTGATGCAACTTATTAAGATCTTATGGTAAACGTATAAACCAATCGGCTTAACATTCTGAAGTTCAGTGACCGGTGAGTTTTCTGATTTATTAAGTGAAACTTTTTTTTTTGGTTGCAAAACTAGTCTTAGGGTTTAGTTTTAGTATTGTGTATCACAGTATAAGATATATTATGGAACATGGTATGCCGTCTACGAAGTCAATCAAACCATCACTTGTTAAAAAGAGAAACACTGCTCAAGATGTGGTAAGCTTTGATTTCACTTTATTATGCTGTTGTTTCAACGACATAATGCTTTGAGTTGAGTCTTGCAGAGTAAATCCTGGTGGAGAATAAAGCCCTTCTTGGCTCTTATTTGTGTAGCACTTTTAATCTTTTGGTATAAGACCACACATATTCAATTTGAAAAAACAGAGGTATAGTTATGATCTCTGTGGATGTGCTGATTTGATTAATTGATAAGTGAACTCTCTTTTTTTTTTCTACCTTTCAGCTAGAAGAAGCAGATTATCCCTTTAACATGGCTAAGGTAACATTTTTCAAACTCTAAATTTTATCTTGTTTTCTAGTTTAATGTAACGTTCTGTGGTCATGGACTGTATCCAGGAATCAGAACCAGTCGATGAGAAGTTAAAAGGCTTGCCTCGTGGTATCATAGAGCCTAGATCAGACTTCGAACTGAAGCCTCTCTGGTCTAGTAGTAGTTTGAGGACAAAGGTTATAGTGCTATTGCATCAAGAAGCGTGACATATATTGCTAGATGAATTTCTGATATGTGTTGTGATTGGTAAACACAGGGTTTAAAAATGACTAACCGTAACTTGTTGGCCATACCCGTAGGAATTAAGCAAAAGGCTAACGTTGACATTATTGTAAAGAAGGTATTGCAACTTTTTTTGGTTAGGTTACAGAGGTTGGTTTCCTTTTTAATGTAAAGCCTCTCTTGCGTCGTCTCTCAGTTTCTTCCAGCGAATTTCACGGTTGTTCTGTTCCATTACGATGGTAATANAAGGCTAACGTTGACATTATTGTAAAGAAGGTATTGCAACTTTTTTTGGTTAGGTTACAGAGGTTGGTTTCCTTTTTAATGTAAAGCCTCTCTTGCGTCGTCTCTCAGTTTCTTCCAGCGAATTTCACGGTTGTTCTGTTCCATTACGATGGTAATATGGATCAATGGTGGGATCTGGAGTGGAGTTCTAAGGCCATACATATAGTTGCACAGGAACAGACTAAATGGTTGTTTCCTTTTGTGAAGATAATAACATAGAGAGAATGTTGTAACATTAGTTAATAAAATATTCCTCTCTTGATTTTTAGGTGGTTTGCAAAACGATTTCTGCATCCTGATATTGTATCAATTTATGATTATATATTTATTTGGGATGAGGATCTTGGAGTAGAGAATTTCAGACCAGAGAGGTAAACTTCTTTAATTATTCTTATAGCTTGTACTACAAGTTATGATGAGTGTGACACCATTTTTCTACAGGTATTTGGAAATAGTTAAATCAGAGGGACTAGAGATATCTCAACCGGCGTTGGATTCAAACTCGAGTGGAATCCACCACAAGATCACAGTCCGTTCTAGTACAGCCATATTTCATAGGTTCAATTTATTCATTTATTAGGAGAGCTTTTTTTTTTTTTTTTTTTCAAATTTAGGAGAGCTTTTTGTTTGTTTTCTACGCAAGCTTACGACATGCATGATGCCAAAAAAACACAGGAGAGTTTACATTAGTAGAGGCCATAGAAGGTGTACTGATGCAAGCCAAGATCCTCCTTGCACAGCGTAATGATTTCTTAGGCGCGCGATGAATCATTTCTGTGAATTGTTGAGTATATACATAGTTGATACACTTTTGTTTCGTAGATTTGTTGAAGGGATGGCTCCAGTTTTCTCAAGAGCTGCTTGGTTTTGCACTTGGAATCTTATACAAGTAAAATTTTCACTTCCTATTTATTTATCTACAGAAGTTAACTGACACCTTTAGTAATTATTTCCACTTGCTTTCATTTTGTAGAATGATTTGGTTCATGGATGGGGAATGGATATGAAACTAGGTTATTGTGCACAGGTTATCTTCTTTTCTTGTAAAAGTCGAAATTCTCACTCAAGATTTTGTTTCTAACTTAGTATATATATCTTGACAAAAAAAAAACCTTAGTATATATATATATTGCTGAAATGAACCATCTAGTTAGTCCTTTTAAAAACTTCAATTTGTGAACATGGTTTTGACCGTTGTAGGGAGACAGAACGAAGAATGTAGGGATCGTGGATAGTGAGTATATCTTTCATCAAGGCATTCAAACATTAGGTGAAAGTGGACACCCTGAGAAGAAGGTATATATATGATCCCGAGATTCAATAACTTTCTATATAACGTTGTTTCTCTAATTAAAGATAGCTCACACCTTCACCATTATTTTTCGTTTTGATATTTTCAAGAGACATGGCCATGATCCGAGAACCTCGGTGAGTAAATCTCCATCAGATTCTTCTTTAGGTAGAAGAAACATCATAGTGTATATACTTGAATGGGTTTTTGATGAAACAAAGTAGATAAGGAGGCAATCCACATGGGAGCTTCAAACTTTTCAAGAGCGATGGAACAAAGCGGTGGAAGAAGACAAGAACTGGATTGATCCATCTTCATCGAAGCGGAAGAGTAACGGTAGTAACAGCAGATTAAGGCGTGGTAAGAGAATTCAAGAGACAACAACAGCATAAAACTGATTTTTATACACACACAGCGATTGTAAATAATTTTATTGTCCTATTTTTCCTTAACCAGTGTTGCTTTCTTTGAATATGAAACTGGTTTTTTTTTTTAATTTATAGAAGCTCATATGTATTTTCATCACTAAAAGCTATTTTTAAATCAAGCTACATATTAAAAACTTACTCGATACTCGCCTTATACTTGTGATTAACCCGAATTTGCCTTATAAAACCAAGTATTTGCTGTTAGCAAAGCAAGTAAAAGCACCTCCAATGAAGAATTTTATTACGAGATTCTAAACGGAATATAAAAATCTATCTCTTAATTTTTAACTAAAAAAATTAAGAACCGGTTCTTAAATGTCTTTATCATGTGAGCAAATTGATACTACTATTAAGGTTATTTTTTTGGAAATTCATGTGAGGCTATCATATGATGTGTACTGAAGCTACTGTACAGCTTTTATTCGTTATGATTTTCAGTTAGAGCAATCGTATTGGTTAGTATGTAAAACATAAGTTCTTAAAAACAAAATAATAATATTTAAATTAATATTATGTTTTAATTTAAATTAAATTATTAGATTACTTAGATATTTACAAGTGGAAAAATAATGCATTTATATGAAAACATGTGGAAGTCAATAATGTTCAAAGGAGTTCTCTGACCAGAACCTATCCCTCTCTTTCCGTGTGTGGAGGACATCATCCTTCACCACTAGTCAACTCTTTTATTTTTGATATACAAACCCAATGTCAAAAGAAAAAAATAGTCGGTTGGGCCTTGTTGATAGATCGCTCAACGTGTTCATCTAATATTCTTGTGATTGGAGGAGAAGGCTTTGGTAAGCATGGCTGGTCGCTACGATAGGAAACCCTTGGACGAGGGAGAAGAAGTCAATCCTTTTGCTGTAAAGCTTTCATTCACTCTTCTTTGTTTTTTTTTTTTTTGTTTTTATCCCTGGAAGTGTGCTTGCTTGCTTGTGTAATTTCCATTAATGTTTTGAGTGTATTGGGATCTTATCACTGTTATTTAGGCCCATTTCTTATACGTTTGTTGAACTATGGAGATGAGTCAGTAATCGAATAGTAGCTAGTTGTGATAATGTAATCCAATTTTGTTGAAACCTGCTGGTTTTGGCTTTAATTGATTATGATGGGGAGTAGTAGATATTTTTGTGATCATGTGGATATGTTTGGATTAGTTTCTTGAATGATTTGTTTTTCCCCTTGTTTTTGAAGAAAGAGAAGGAGCTGGAAGCTAAAGAAGTTGAGCTTCAGCGACGCGAGCAGGTTTCAACTGCAATTAATATTTAATACTACATTACATCCTCTGAAACTTATAGTTACAGTTTCATTTAAAGTAAAAGAAGTTATTGAATGAATTTATAGTATTGTTTCTCTGTAGGATCTCAAACGGAAAGAAGATGCTGCTGCACGAGGTGCAATGTCTTCTTTTTTATCATTTACGTAACCTGTTGCATTAATTACAGTCACCTAGAGGATTTTTTCTGTTATTTTTTTCACCTCTTGTCTTGATGATATGTGTGTCTACACTTTCCTTTTTAATTTCAATCTTATGTTACCTTTTTTTCTTTGTAGCGGGAGTTGTGATGGAGGTGAAAAACTGGCCGCCCTTGTTCCCACTTATCCACCACGACATTGCAAATGATATTCCCATCCGTCTCCAAACTCTACAGTATACTGCATTTGCAACTTATTTAGGTATATATGTAAATATTTATTAGTCTTACTTGGAGAGTGCGGACTTTCACACAGTTTACTTGTTTGTCCATGCATGTCCAAAATATATAGGATTGGTTCTTGCTCTTTTCTGGAATGTCATCGCCGTTACTACTGCTTGGATCAAAGGAGAAGGTAGACTCTTCTTGTTCTCTTACTTACTTGACCAATTAAGACTTCTGTAATGGATCTTAATTTCTAACAGCCTTTGACTTTTAATTTAATTTGTTTGTGTTCTTCAGGAGTGACGATTTGGCTCCTTGCTCTTATTTACTTCATATCGGGTGTCCCAGGAGGCTATGTGTTATGGTATCGCCCTCTCTACCGTGCCTTCAGGTTCTTATTATTTCTCATTCCCTAGTCTCCAAGTGTCGGCAATATATTTTTTTTTCTTCCTACTTATAAATTTACGCAATGTGTATTTTGTGTTGAATTCCTGCAGAAATGATAACGCGGCGAGCTTTGGATGGTTTTTCTTGTTCTACCTGGTGAGTACATTAGTGGTAACATCTTATAACCTGAGTGCTCTAGAAAAGTCATGTGACACCGTTCCTTTCTTGCCACAGATCCACATATTTTTCTGCGTCGTTGCTGCTGTTTCTCCTCCTTTTGTTTTCAAAGGAAAATCACTTGCGTAAGTTTCCTCAAGTACTCACAGTTGATAGTTGCATATCTAGCCTGTTATTAAATTATTTTGATTGAATTTATACAGTGGCATATTACCTGCAATGGACATGTTGAGCAGTCAGGCATTGGTCGGAGTAAGCTAGATTCTATCTCTTATGAGCTCTCCTCTGATGAGGGACATGTTGATTATACTCATTGATTTTCTTGTTTTGTCTATCGTAGATCTTCTACTTCATCGGGTTTGCAATTTTCTGTCTTGAATTATTGGTCAGCATGTGGTCTATTCAGGTCTCTTTCCCAACCTCTCTGAATCTCTGTATTGTTTATTGTTGACATTTGAATATCGTCGTCCATTTTATTTTGTTGCAGCAAGTATACTATGAGATGCGACGGGATGATGCAAGAGGAAGAACAGTCCTGAGATTTTGGGGACCATAGACGGTTTTTAAAATATTCCATCTAAAATTTTCATATGAATATGCAATCAAATCATCATTTCTCTTTAAGCTTCCTCATCATTTTTTTTCTTTAAAGCGTTTAAGTAAAATCTCATGTATATTTATTTGTGCTTGCCAATTTTTTCAGATATCTTTTCTGTAGGAACACCTTATATTTCTTAAAAGCTTTATTTATGTACAAATACTAGTTTCATAAACTTTGCATTATTGTTAGGCTGTTTCTAACCACAGGATGATGACTAGTGACTGTAGTGTATATCAGAAACAAATTGCAATTTGAAAACTTGGATATTACCGAACAGGAAGTGATTTTTATGGCGACTAAAGAAGCAAGAGCTTGGCAATCAGCCCAGCCTGAAAAGATAACGCCATCATCATCTCCTACGACCAAGAACAGAGCACCACAGCCGTGTGGTTTGGCACAATCAACTAAATGTTTTGTGGAAGCTGCTTGGAATGCAACCAAAAAAGGTGGAGGCTTCGGTTGCATCTTTAAGGATCCCTCCAGCAACATCACCACTCATCAAGTCTCAGCAAACCGTTGCATAGTCAGTTCTGCCTTTATCGCAGAAGCTATAGCGGTTAAAACTGCTCTCTTACAAGCAGTACACTTGGGACTAAAAACGTTGACTGTCTGGTCAGATTCACAGTCTCTTATCTCATCCATCTCTGCACACAAGAAGACCATTGAAGTGCAGAGTGTGCTTTTCGATATCGATCACCTTTGTTCTATGTTTATCTCTATTTCCTTTCACTTTGTCCAAGGCTACAAAATGCTGAAGTTGACTGTTTAGCTAAGCATGCTTTGTTGAACCTTTATAACTTTGGTTGAGTTGCTCTAAATTAATGAAGGTTTGTTCAAAAAAGAATATTCCCCTTTTTTTCATTTTCTCCCAACAATTTGGTGTTACCTTATTTTTCTCACGTGAATTTTGTTGTTAGTCTGCAAGACTGCAAATTTTATTAAGAAACATTTTATTTATCTGGCTTTCGGTGAATACCTAAAAGATGTAAGCTTTTTGTGTTTTGTGCACGTGAATTTAGTGCAAAAAAGGAATGGAATATCTATTAGTGTTAAGAAATGAAGATGGTGGTTGGGACATATCCGGAAATGGACCAGACCACATCAGTCTACTTCAGTCCCAAGACTAGGCGGCCAAGACTTGTCATTATCCTCCCTTGTATTTATCCATATGTTGTAGATATCCTAATCATTATAGGATTAGGATAATCATCCCCTTTATTTGTAGCAATCCTTATCTCCTAA